ATCACATAAGGAATATCAAGAAGAATTATTAGGTGATGAGATGTATTTCATACATTCAAAAAATTTCACATAACAATATGTCATGAAAGAACATATAAACAATCTCGATTTATAAAATGAATACACAAGTTATATTTTTGAAAAATCAAGAGACACCGTGATTCATTTTAACAAATCTCCTCTTAAATAAATAACATAAAGAATTCTTAGGAGATAATGAAAAAGATAGCATTCATTCAATCTTGTAAGAGAACAAGATATTAATTCATGCATATAAAATCTTGATTTAAGCATAAGAAATCTTAATTTATAAATTTCGAAAAATCAAGATAAAGCTCATTTAAATCATCAAATCAAGATCATTTTCAAGAGACTCACAAAGATAATACAAATAGATTCATTAATTTCCCTTTTTGAAAAATCAATAAAGTCAAAAAAATAAATTTTTCAAGAAGAAACCTTTCCACTTTTTAGTTGTTTTAATTCAAGTGATTTATTTCATATATGTATGTTCTTTACTTTTATGCCAAATAAAAACATGCATCAATGTTTAGGATCGAAAAATGAATTTCGTCATAAAACCATCAAGATCAATAGATTCTCAAAAGTGAATTGTTAGAATCAAGAAAATCCAAAAATAAAATTTAACACTTTCATGCATTCGGACATGGTTTTGCTATAGATTTTCAAATTCAATCATAAAGATAAAACATGCTCATGATCATGAAAATTTTTGTATCCAAAACACATAATTTCCAACATGTTATTAAGGCATGTAATAGTGTAAAATCATCAAGATAACACATGCATGGATTAATCCTAAGCATTATCACATATCATATAATTATCATCTCTAATGTTGCATACATCATTCAACATTTCAAAACATAGCATGCATGAAACCTTAGCAATATACTATTCATGATCAAATTTTTAATTTTTCAAAGATGCTAAAAGGAAAAACATGATATAATTTTTGAAAAACAATTTTTTATTTCCTATTCCTACTATCTAAATTAAGCACTCCTGAAAGACTTCAAGTAATTTCAAAATAATTCAAGAGAGTTGAGTTACTTATCTTGTAGTCGAAGCTCGTCAAAGCCCAATTCGTTGTTTCACCTTTGGAAGTTTTTGATTCATCCTTGATTGCCTTCCTCTTCTTTAGTCTCTTCCTCCGTTCAAGTTCATTGTTTATTTTAGATTTTCATTTAATAAATTTATTAAGATTTAGTGTTCGAAGTTCAAGTTCATTATTGTCCTCATCACTTGAGTCATCGCTCAAGTGGTATTCAATTGTCCGGAGTTCCAAATCCTTCTTATTCTTTGGAAGGTGGTTCAAGTGCTTATTGGGTTCAAAATATTCCAAAAGTGTCATTTCATAGGTCATTAATGAATCAATTAGTTCTTCAAGTGGAAAAATATTTAAATCTTTTGTTTCTTGTATTGCGGTTATTTTAGGATCCCACCTTTTTGGAAGAGATCTTAAGATCTTGCTTACGAGATCAAAATTTAAAAAAGATTTACCAAGAACTCTTAGATTATTGACGACATCCGTAAAACGGGTGTACATGTCACCTATAGTCTCACTTGGTTGCATTTGAAAAAGCTCAAAATCATGCAATAAAATGTTAACTTTCGAGTCTTTGACTCTACTAGTTCTCTCGTGCGTGATTTCAAGTGTTCGCCAAATATCAAAAGCCTTTTCACATATAGAAATCCGATTGAACTCATTTTTGTCCAAAGCGCAAAATAAGGCATTCATAGCCTTTGCATTTAAAGAAAAATACTTCTTCTCCAAATCCGACCATTTGTTCATCAGTTTAGAGGGAAGTTGAAAATCGTTTTCAATAATATTCCATAAATCCAAATTCATAGAAATCAAGAAAACTCTCATTTGAGTTTTCCAATAAGTGTAGTCCAATCTGTTAAACAACGATGCACGAACAACCGATAAGCCCTCTTGAAAGCCATAAAGAGTCATTTCTCTCGGGTGTAAATCCGAAATGTGAAATACCGGGCTCTGATACTAATTGTTAAGATCAAGAGCACTAAGAGAGGGGGGGGGAGGGGGGGTGAATTAGTGTAGTGGAAAACTTTGGACGATTAAAATTGTGTTCGTATGTTAAAATCCGATTCCGATGTAAAAGTCATTTCGTGCAGATAATAACTTTGAAAGATTACGAAAACATATTTGAAGTAAAGTAAGGAAGGCAGTTTGCAGTTAAGATAGAAATCAGAATGTAAGCGCAACCTGAAATATGATGTTCATATGATAAAACCGATTTCCGTCTTAACGTCGATTCAGAAAATACTTAACTATGAAACACGTTCATAAATGAGCAGAAGGCAGTAAGCTACTAAGGAGGTTTGCAGTAAAGATAAGATGCTCAAAGTAAATGCAAACTGAGATTTAGAGTGGTTCAGTCAATCTTGACCTACATCCACTTTTGGCTTCCTCCAACGAGGTCACCGACGTCCACTAGAGGCCTTCCTTCAATAGACGAAGGCCAACCACCCTTTTACAGTTTCACTCCTTTTGACGGGCCTAGGAGACAACCCTTACAAACTTTTCTCTCCTCTCTTGAAAGATCAAAACTTGGAAGAAGAGAGGGAGAACTTCTAGACTTTACAACACTTTTGAGCTCTAAAATCACAGGGCAAGATCAAGCTTTCGGTGCATTTGGGTTGCTCTTTCATTGCTGAAAGGGTAGGGTATTTATAGGCCCCAAACTAATTTGAATTCCAACCTCAAAACTATCATCTCCCGGAATTCCGAGGTCTAGCGGTTGCACCGCCTGACTAGGGCAGTTGCACCGTCTGGCAAAGCTCGGAGACTGAGCCTCTGGGTAGTGCCACCTCTTGTCAGGGGCAGTTGCACTGCTTGGCAGAGCTCGGAGACTGAGCCTCTAGGCGGTGCCATCGGTTGACAAGGGCGGTTGCACCGCTTGGCAGAGCTCGGAGACCGAGCTCAGGCGGTTCCACCGCTTGTCAGGGGCGGTTGCACCGCCCAATCTCACTTGGAGACTGAGCCCAAGTGGTGCCATCGCTTGGTAGGAATTCTGGTCCGAATGAGTTGATCCATTCGGCCCAATTTGGGTCTATCAAGGGCCCAATTGCCCCCAGATTAAGTTAATGGGATCACCTCCCATTCCTAACTTAATCTACATGTTAACTACGATATTTCTTAAGACATTTACTGCAACTTGCTCCGGTGCATCAATCGCTTCTTCCGACGAGCTTCCGGCGAACATCTGACGAACCTTTGGTGATACTTCGGCGGACTTCCTACAAACTCCTGGACTTGCGATGATCCACTTGGTGAGTTCCGACAAGCTTCTTTGGCAAGCTCCTGGACTTCTCGGATTTGTTCCCGTAGAACCTCCGACGACCGTCCGGACTTCCGTTGAACTCCCAATGTGATCATAGTCTTGACTCCGGCGTAACTCCTACTGCATGTCTTACTTCCATCGTAGTTAATCCTGCACATGTAAAACAAAACTTCGATCAAGACAATTAATCCTAAGCAATTAACCAAGTTGTCCGACATGTCATTGGTCCCTCGACGCTTCGTCCGATTTTTCGGCGCATCGTCCTCTCCTGCGGTCTATTGCCTAATCGGTCTGTTGACTCCGCAACTCTGATATCCTTGGCATAATACCCGCTCTTCTTGGCCCAATGCCCGAGTCCACGGCCCAAAGCCTTCTGTCGATACGTCGACTGATCTACTGGCTCGACGTCCAATCTTCTAACATATTCCTCCGGCACAGCATAATTTTTTCTGCTTTAATTGTCTTATCTTGATCGAAACATCCTGCATCACTCAAAAATACAGATTAAATCATAAACATATATCAAGTGGTTTCGTCATCAAAATACGAGATTCAACAGTGTCAGCCGTATGAAACTGAAGTATCGATTAAATGGTTTCATTGTGTTGGCTATGTGGAGATGAGGTGTCGACCAAATCGTTGTTTCATATTGTCCACATTGAGGCGAGGTGTTAATCAGATAGTTTCGACATATTGGCCATGTTAAGCTAAGGCATCGACTATATAGAGTTGAGGTATCTGGAGTCAGCTTGTCAATCACGTGGCCTCATTTGGTCAATTGAGCGACCCCAACAATTTGGTTACTTGGAACCAAGTTATTTAGATGGAGTTAACATATATGATGCATGCGCTGATGTGTTAATTATATTATTTTTCTCCATAATAATAATATTTTGATAGAAATATAAAAAATATAATAAATCTATCTAAAAATATTATTACTATAAATCTTAGATATATAAAATTGGATTAGTCCATATCATAGTGATAATCAATCTTAGACATACTAGACATGCCTACTCTCGTTCCTTTTGAAAAATAATTTTATGAAATATGATAAATAAAAAATTACTTGGGAAAATATGAAAAATGAGACATCTGTAGGACTTTTATCAAAATTCAGGACAACTTTGTTTGGACTATAACCAAGAAAAAAAATGGAGAAATTTTAGAAGCCAGATATAATGAGAATTATGTTGTTGCATAAATCATTTTAATGAATATCTGGATTCCAATTTAATTTATGCTTAAAGTTCTATATACTTATTGCTTAAACATGTCATTCTCTTTTTCCTACTTTTAATTGGGCAAATAAAAATATTGATCTAGTTAATGGACATCATTCAATGCTTGTATTGTAAATTAATCTTCTCATTAAAAAATAAATTATTAGTTTAAGTGTACTAATTATTTTTAATTAATTATGTGTTTTCGATATAAAAAGAAGCGTAAATTAAGTATCTTAGTGATAAGTAAATTATGATTCTTGCCACCTGTATATTGGAATTTGAAATGCTACACCTTGCAGAGAACTTCAATCTTTTCGTCTCACTCCACCAAGTAAATTATGACCGGCGTGTGTCGTGTGTCCGGACTCAAGTCGTATCTTAAGTTGGCATTGGGGAAAGGGTCATGGAGTTGATAGGGGTAATTGAGTAATTTTGGTAAATGCATAATGACATAAAACCCTCGAACGAAGACCGGTTTACTTACCGTTTTGTCTGCCCTAAACTCCCGAAACCTTAAGTACCATAGACCGCCGCCCCGCCCGGCCTCCCCGCCTGTCGCCACGCTACTACACCCTCGGCGCATGCACTCTTCTTTCTCACCCTGCTGTTCTCTATTTGTCCCCACCCGTTGCGCTACCGTGTAGCCCCGCGTCCTCCTACGCTTTTGCCGCCGAGCCTCGCCTCTTTTTCTGCTTCTTCCTTGCTGTGATTCTACGTCGGCTTCTCGACGGTGCGTGACACTCGGAAAGTTTGGGCCTTCGCCACCCTCGCCATCGGTTGCACCACCGCCTTCAGGCCGCAGTCACCAGCGGCACCCCCTCTGTTAGAACATTAGAGGTCACTAGAAGACAGGTAATATAAGAAAAGAAATAGAAAAACATAACAGCAAACCGGAAATTTTTGACGTATTGCAATGCGATGCCATCTGTTTATTAGAAAACGGCCTTTTTTTTTTCACTTTTAATTGTGCTGAAGCTTCTTGCACTGGGTTTCCGTTTTTAAGTTATGGTCACGGCCTTTGTTTGCTTTAATTTTCTATTAATATTGCAGTTTTTGCAGTTAAAATGAGCTTAATTTCCCAAAACGCTGTTCTTAAACAACAAAGGGACAAGAAACTTGATAGAGAAATAGCTGATGTGTCTCCGATTGCACATGCTGATGAAGAAGTAGAGCCAGTTGATGAACTCAAGTTGAAAAAATCGAAGAAGAGGAGGAGGAGCAATTCTGATGATTCGTCAAAGCAAAAAGCACGCAAAACTGAACAGGAGGAGATGAAGAGGCTTGAGGGCTTCTTGTTTGGCAAGCTTTACACTCCCATTGAATTCGACAAGGACACTTACGGAGATGACGATGGCCAGGAGCAGGTGGCCAAGGATGCCCCTTTGTTTTTCATGGATAGGTCTACGAGCAATGAGATGGTTGTGTTTGAAAACGACTTGTGCGCTATGGGCAAAGAAGACCTCAGTGAAGAGCGGAAGCCCGTCTGGGTTGACGAGGAGGAAGAAAGGACAGAGGTTGACATAGTCCGTGTTAATAGGTTGAGGAAGCTGAGGAAGGAGGCTGACGAGCATGTGATCTCAGGTGCAGACTATGTTGCTCGATTGCGTGCTCAGCATGCTAAGTTAAACCCAGGAACAGAATGGGCAAATGTTGATCGGAAGTATGCTCGCCGTGGCATTTCTGAGGATGAGTCTGATGATGAAAGTGATCTCACCATTGCTCGTGGCTTTGATGGTGCTGAGGGTGATGATATTCTTCGGGGCAATGATGAGCTTGTCATAAAGGGCGGTACCAAACTTTTGCCTGGACTGTTGGAGTACTCAAGGCTGGTGGATGCTAATGCTGAAGAACCTTCTAATGGTCCAATTAACTCAGTCCAGTTTCACAGAAATGGTCAGTTGCTGCTGACTGCTGGATTCGATAGGCGATTGAGATTTTTCCAAGTTGATGGAAAGCGTAATCCCAAGATTCAGAGCATATTCATGGAAGACTGCCCCGTACATAAGGCATCCTTTTTGCCTGATGGTACAGAGGTTATAATTGCTGGCCGGAGGAAGTTCTTTTATAGTTTTGATTTAGTCAAAGCATCTGTT